TAACCTAAAGGTCGGCGGTTTGAACCTACCAACTGCTCTTCAGGAGAAAGACGTTATGGTGTCCATCAAGATGGCTGCCCTGGAAACCCCACGGGGTAGCTCTCCTCTGTCCAGAGACTTACTATGAGTTGGAATCAACTCCACAGCAAAGGGATGGCTTTGGGTTTCGCTACCTTGTAGGGGCAAGTGTGGAAAGCAGACAGACCCCCTTTATCCACTAGGTGGTTCTTGAGGGTGGCTCAGGCGAGGGTGGTGGTGGTGTGGCATGGCATGGGAAGTGGGATGTAGCATTGAGGTGGAAGGAGGAAGTCCCCAGATCAGGGGTCCTCCCCTCCTGTTCATCCTCATTGTCTATATCAAAGGAAGAACTTTGTCATTGTATTTACTGGCGAAGACCCAGCGGAGAGGGTCTTCAGTCATCACTCTCTGCTTCACGGGTTCAGAGGTTCTGAGCCAGCGACACGCTTGGGCCTCTTTGTCAAGACTTGTCTGGGACTGCTTTCACTCCCTCGGATAGTACTCTGGAAAGCAGTGGCTCTGTAAGATAAGAACTGGACTGCAAACACAAGGTTGGAGGTTCAAACCCACCAGCTGCTCTGCAGGAGAAAGATGTGGCTTTCTGCTCCCATGAAGATTTACAGCCTAGGAAACCCTATACTAGGTCAGTGTGAGTCAGAACAGACTGAACAGCAGTAAACAGGAACTAGTCCTATTGTCTCTCAATGTCTGTCTCATATCCCCCCGTTAGATCATCAGCTTGGTTGTCTAGTTTTTTATTTTAGATTTAATTAAAGATTCTTAAAGCAGGGAAACATGTCTTATTCTTCCTTCCAGGTCCCTAGTGTCCAGCTTAATGCTTGCCACAACCCAGAAGTGGGGTAAATATATGCCGATGAGCTGTCCTGCCCATAGGGTGCTCCCAGCCACAGGAATCCGCTCCATGGATTCCAACACGGCTACACAGCCTCCTCAGCAGACCCACGTGGCCATGGACTCTGAGGTGCAGAGCAGAACCCCCCCCACCCCCCGTCTACAGGGTGCACAGTGATTATGGTAACAGCTGGAATCAGCCCCCACACCCAGCGGAGTTGCTGTGAGGAGATACGACCATGTATTTCCACGCTTGTCTCCCCGGGACCCTCACTCACAAGGATCAAAAGAGCAGCTTCTAAAGAGTTGTCCTCAGGGGCCCAGCCCACAGCTGTGGGGGACGCAGACTCCAGGGTCCTCCTAAGAGTGACCGAGCAGTACGCATCCACCAGCTGGCCCCAGACAACTCTTGTCCTTTGGGTCGATGGAAGGAGACCGTGATCCCAGCTCTGTGGTTGACACATCGATCCTAGAAGAGGCAGTTAGGACCTCTCTTCCATTTCTGAGGAGCTCTGGTAGTGCCGTGGTTAAGTGCTGGGCTGCTACCTACTAGGTGGGAGGTTCAAACTCACCAGTCTGCTCCCATAAAGATTTACAATCTCAGAGCCCTGGTGAGCAGCTCTGCTCTGTGTCGTCCCTATGAGTTGGACTTGAGTCAGCATCAGTGGGTGGGATGTCATTTCAGAGGACAGGTGCCCACCCACAGGTCAAAGTGTCAGTGAGCTGGGTCAGTCAGGGCTCTTGTCCTGTCCACCCCATCCCGGCACCTGGGCCACTGGTTTGTACAAAAGAGCATGCGAGCGATGTTGGTCAAAGTGCATGGTTGTTGAAGAGGTCAGAACTGAGCATTAACAGTGAACACGAGACAGTGCTAACCTTACCTCTAGGCAGGAAGGGTCCCAGCCAGGATTCCTCCTGCACAGCCAACACCTGCCTGTCGGCTAGGACACTGGGCAGCTGACAGCAGAGCTTCCAGACTGAGAGGGACTAAGAAGACAGGCCTGGCTGTATAGTTCTGAAAATCAGCCAATAAAACCCCATGGATGATGCAAGACAGGGGAGCATTTTGTCCTGCTGTGCATGGGGTCACCGTGAGCCAGGGGCCCAGTCCTTGTCAACCAACAACAGCAAAAACATAGGTTCGTGCCGTTGCCCATTTATTAAGGATCTACACAGCAGCGGCACATGGTGTTGTTGTTAGGTGTTGTCGAGTTGGTACCGACTCACAGCGACCTTATGCACAACTGACTGAAACGCTGCCTGGTGTTGCACCAGCCTCACAATTGTTCCTGTTTGAGTCCACTGTTGTAGCCACTGGGTCAGGTCACCTCATCCATGGTCATCCTCTTTTTCCCAGACCAAGCATGATGTCTTTCTTCAGTGACTGGTCCCCTCTAATAACACGTTTAACGGATGAGAGACGAAGTCTCGTCATCATCTCTTCTAAGAAGTGTTCTGGCTGTACTGCTTCCAACACAGATTGCTTTGTTCTTCTGGCAGTCCACAGTGTATTTCATATTCTTATCCAACACCACAACTCAAAGGCATCAGTTCTTCCCCTGTCTTCCTTATTCATTCCCAGTTTTCTCTGGACATATATGTACTTTAAACTATTCATATACACTTTCAGTCTGGAATTAATAAATGGAAAAACATATAAAATTAATAAGTGGAAAAATAAAATATAAATCCTTCCTCATAACAGTGCGGTGTGGCACTGTAAGATCAGCCCTGTACTGCAAACTACAAGGTCGGCAGTCCAAACCCACCAGCTGCTCCTCAGAAACCCTCATGAGGGGTCGCTATGAGTCAGAACCAACTGACTGCATTTAACAACAACAGAACAGAAAACAGTTCATATGTAGAAACCAAGGAAACCTTTTTCAATTCTTCCCTCTTTGTTATAAGAACTTCCTAATGAGTTGCATAGATGGGCTGCCTCATAGAAAACTTCCGGTGCATGGTAGCCATCAACATTTCATCCCTCTGTGTGAATGCGGGGAGTTAATACTTACTTAATGGGTTAATGCGTTGGACTGTAAAGTCAGTTTGAACCGCAAACTGTCGGTGGTTCAAGCTCAACAGCCGGTTCAAGCTCACTGTCAGTGGTTCAAGCTTACCAAGCTCCTTGGAAACCCTATATAGGGTCACTATAGGTCAGAACCAACTCGATGGCACTTAACAACAATAACAACATGGAAATGTTGACAAGCACTAACTAACAAAAGAAACCTTAGAAAGTTACACTTGACAACAGGTGAGGGCAGGAAGCTCCCCAATCACTCTGTACACACAAGACATAAATCGCGCTAAGATATAAGCTGGCCCTTTACCTCATTTATCAACCACATTGTTTGGTCCTGCCCCCTGCCTGCAGCTACCACGAACACAACAGGGGCCTGGGAAAACGAAGACTTCCTTGAGGTCAGCTAACTCTTCTTCAACAAATCTCTGGACTCCACTAAGAGCTTTAGATGGAGCGAAATGTCCCGTTCTTTAATCCTGTGTAAATAGTGTGTTTCTGAAGCCTTGGGGGACCAAGTGTCCTCCCAAAACACAGGGCAAAATGATGTCTCCAAGGGCCTTGAACATCCATCTCCAGGGCTGCTCAGGTTTGAATTCACCTCACTGCCCAACAGACACATGTATACACACGGTACACCTGTATTTACACCTGTGTGCACCTGTACACACCCCACACGTATATCTGTATGCACACATACATATCCCACACACATGTATACACACTATACATACATGTATACACACTATACATACATGTATACACACTATACATACAAGTTGTCATTGAATACTGTTGAGTCGGTTCCAGTTCATTTGTTTTGTGCTGTTGAGTTGGTTCCAACTCATAGCCACCTTGTAGACAGTTTCTAAGGAGTAGCTGGTGAGTTTGAACCACCAACCTTGTGGTTCAAACCAACCTTGCAGTCCAGCGCATTAACTCACAGTGCCACGGAGCTCTCATAGCAGCATTGGGCTCAAGGTTAATATGAGTTCTGTAGATACGGCATGCGTCGTCTGTGATGTGAGCTGTGTAGGAAGGCCCTGGTGACGCGATGGTTAAGTGCTTGGTGGTTAACAAGGACAGTTAGTGGAAGAAAGACCTGGAGGTCTGTTCCCACAAAGGTGACGGTCCACGAAGGCCTATGGGGAGCTCTGCTCTGCACCTGGAGTCTCTATGCAGCAGACTCAGCAGTAAATACAGTGGAAGTCATGAGATCTGAAAGCCAACGGGCTGCCTTGTTTTTCTGGGTCTTGTAGATTTTCTTTCCGCTCTGACACAGTACCTACCGCATTTCTGTCGCTTCTTATCGAGAATCCGACTTCATGGACATCCAGCGGGTTTTCCTGCCCAGATTGACAGATCTCCACCTTATACAAGTTTCACCTTTATTGCACACACACACACACACACACATAGAATTTGCTGTTGTTGTTAAAGAGAGTATCCCATCATCAAAAAAGTTTGAGAAGTTCCGAGTACAGGGAGGCAGACAAATGTGGATCATGAATCTTGCTGGGGTTTCCACAGATTCTCTGACTACACTTCTCTGATGAGTTTATGTCAGGGACTTGTGGGAAAGTTCCGCTTTTCCACAGACTTCTGGAAGCCTCCTTGGAGACTACATTGGGCAATGCCATCTTCTGTGAAGAAAGCAGACTTCCCAGGACTGGGACGAAGAGTTAGTGGAGGGACGAAAGGAAAAGAACAGAATCAAGGTGCTTTTCTATTCCAGCAGGTAGTAGAGAGCTTTTCCTGGGTCTCAGCGAGCACTTTAGGGTCTTCTTGTGTCCCACTGTGCCCTACACGAAACTCTTGTGAGATGCTTCTGTTTCTGTGGTGTTTTCTCAGGGACAGACTTTCTGACTGCGTCCGAGGCTGAGGAATCGCTGGAACAGAAGGAAGCAGTGGTCCCTCCTGGTCTTCCCCTTCCCTGCGGGTCTTTCCTGATCCCGGTCTCATTAGCAGGTTACTCTTACCAGTCTCTTCTCACAGTTCCCACTGGAGAAAATGGAAACAGTACTGATGATCCCTTCTCTCTCTCTCCCTCTCTTCATCCCTCTGCTTCTCCGCTCCCTGACCCGGTGTTCCTTCCCTCCCCCTCCAGGAACCTTCTGCATCATCTCACTGTGCACCTGCGTAGCCGGGATCAACTTTGAGCTGTCACGTTACCCGCGTTACCTGTATGGACTGCCCGACGACATCAGTCACGGCTATGGATGGTCCATGTTCTGTGCGTGGGGAGGCCTGGGTCTCACTCTCATTTCGGGCTTCTTCTGCACCTTGGCCCCTTCTGTCCAACCTGTCCCGAGGACCAACTGCCCTAAATCCAGACCTGAGAATGGGACAGTGTGCTAAAACATGAACGCTGAAGCCCACACACATACACATAAACACACACACACACACACACCTATATAAATATATATATATAATATACATATATAAAACAAAACGAAATCAAGATGATGCCAGGGCCAAGGTAGCGTTGAGTTGGCTCCGGCACCTACATCTCCACCCAACTTCGTGTTGTCTCGTCACTGAGATGGGGACGGCTTCCCTGTCACACGGCTCTTCCACCCATTCCTAACTTTTGGCGTCATGGTCTCTTGACGACAGAGTGGACATCACCTACCCCTCACGATGATGTCTGCGTACCTGTCACTCACAAGGTTGGGTGGTGGGCTGGGAAGGCACAGTGTGGCGTTGTCCAAAGCAGCCCGATGTAGAGCAGAGCGCACCATCATTTGGGCCAACAGGAGAGGACCCCACCCCACCAGCCCTTTCACCAAGAAACAAAACCCCTGGTTCATAAAATGTAGCCTCACGTTTGAGACCACCTTCAGAACCCACTTCGTTTCTGGCTCGTCCTGTTCGGATTTCCTTCCTGGCCTACCAGCGACACACAAAATGTGGGAGAGAAAGCAAACAGGAAGAAGTTTTCTCTTTGCTGCCAAACTTTCCGACCAAGTCTTAAGAGGTGGGGAGGGGGAAAGAGCCCCCATGCTGAGAGGCAAGATGTGCACCAAGAAGACACCTCAGTGGGTGCTCAGAAAGCCCCTTCTGATCTTCCAGCTGCCTTACACCCACGATCACCAAGAAGCTGCCCCACCCTGACCCCCACCTGCGCTCCCGGGCAGGCAAGAGCCTTGGGGTGAGGCTGTAATATGTTTGTGTGTGGCCATGTTGGGCGGCCTCCCTTCTTCCCTCCTGCACCTTTTCAATGGAAGTATCGTAGTATGACTGTATTCACGGCCGTGTGTGGTGGTTCCATGGCCCAGGATGGAGGCTCAGAGACCTGGGAAGTGCCGGGAAGGGTCAGCCTAAGCCTGTGCTGCTTCTCCAGCTACGGATGGGTCCCTGGCATGAGTGTATGCGTGCGCACATGGTGGGTGCTTTCTGAGTGTGGGGTTTTATCCGTTTGCTTTGCATTTTTCTATTGTTAGTACAACTCACATTTCCAGAGGGGAGAGCCAAGGGGATAAAAGCCACGGGGCCTGAGAACCCTGTGGCTCTTCTCACCACAGTCCTGGAACCTGGAACTCCGCAGAATGGAATGCCGTAACGCCGGACACACAAGACACCGCCGGGCACAAAAGCCACAACAGAAAAAGGGGCGCAAGGTTGAGGAGGGAAAAGGCCAGGTCTCCCCGTTGCTGTTGTACAAGTACGTATTCCAAACGAGACCTCTAGCTCCCCATTGCGGGGAGCACCCTATCCCTGGACATCTGCCCCTTTCCTCTGGGTGACCTTTCTGTACAGATAAAAGAAAACAGGTCACAAGTGGGGAAAGCAACCCTTAACCCTTGGGCTCGTGTTTGTATGACACTGTGTAAATCGATGGAGAATTCCGGACTCTTCCATCCTCTTCCTTTTCCTCTCCATGTTCAAGGCCATGCATCCCAGAATAGCCATTTTGGCTGGCACCCAAACACAGGTGGGCTGAGGCCCTCATGGTGTCTCGGCCCACTGAAGCCAACTGGCACTGCAGGTGTTGGCAGGCAGAGAGTTGTGAAGCCGTAGGGGCGGGGGTCGGTCTGTGAGAGTGAGCCCGGGGAAGGCCAGGCTGGGGCCCCTGAGCTGACTCTGCCGTGGGTCAGCCAGGTAGATGGAGTTCTGCTGCTTCATAGGTTCGTGTGGTCCTACCCACCATGCCCTCCTCTCATTGACCCGCCTCCCAACAAGGCTTCCTACCTACTGACCGCTCCCCTTGTTGCTGTCGCTCAGGGCGTGAGGTTTGCCTGTCCCTGCTGGCTCTCTGGGAGACACGCTGGGTGTGCATGCCTTGGTTCGAGGGGTGCTTTGTGTCTGGTTGTGTGAATGTGTACCTGGGTGCAGGTGGGGGAGGGGATTCTTGCAGGTGATACTGGTCACGTGGGTTGGAGACGGACAGTGATGTATGACGCTTACATCTAAGAGCTTGATTTTTAAACAAATGGTTTATTCTGTGAGAAGGGAAGCCATGCTCAGTTGTACACGGAAATCTTCCTGCTCCATTTTCTTTGAGAAGATGTTTCCTCTGTGAGGTGTAAGGCATCATTGGGCTCAAGAAGAGTAAAAAGTCTGCCATTGAGAACCTGGTGCCTTTCCCCGGCATCTGGTGAGGTGAGGGCAGCCAGGTGCCCGCCCACCTGTGGGCACCAATTCAGGGCCAAACCCTTGTCTGGGACCAGACCCAAATTCCAGCTCTTTCTGGTGGCAGGAAAGTAAACAAAGATCTAAATGGGGGCAATTTGATATCAACCATTGAGGCTTTTCATTAAGAATGCCCTCTCCTCTTCCTCCCTACCTGTCATTAAGTAGACCAAGTGACTCAGCTGTGTGTTGGACCTTCCCCAAAGCCACTGCACCCCTCCAGACCTTGAGGGGACACCTGAGTGTAATGAGACTCAGAGAACAGAGGTGCTGCCTGAGTTCAGGCTCAGCTCACCCTCGGTGGCTTAGGGGTTTGGGGAGCTTTAGTGATAGAGGGCCAGGTGGTACCTGTATGCCTACTCCGGAAGCCAAAACACTGCCCACCTCCTGGCTAGAACAGAGGCCAGCACCCCTCCATCAGAGGAGCCTGGCCTCCTATTGAATGTGGCAGAGGGAGGGGGAGGGAAGAGAGAGAAGAGAGCGGGACTTCTCATGCATCGTCCTAGACCAGATTCGCAACACCAAACTCAATAGAACTCAACCTTCTTGGGGTCTAGGGTCAGGGCCTCACCAACCTCACCCCAAGTCCAGTTCAGGTTACTTCCATGTGTGGTCTATGACCACACTTGTGTTTGGGGCTCCACGTCATCCAACTTGAGAAGAGGTCAATTCCAACTTTTCCTTCCCTCACTACTCACCTCTGTGAGGTGTAAGGCATCGTTGGGCCTTACACCAAGGATGGGAATTCAGGTGGGCTGTCTGCCTGGAGAGAGGTTCTTTACCTCCTCATTGTTGGGATTTCTTCTATTCACTTTTCCTCCCTCTCCACTCACATCTACTTTTCTTTTTCATCAACTGTGGTCTGTTAAAGTAGTCAAGTCCTCGTAGGCATCAACTACCCCCTTGCTGATTGCAACTGTTGACCTTATAAGAGAGTCTGAGTCTCCCTGAAATCAAAACTAACAGAGGAAGGAGTCTGTTTCATCCTCCTACAAGCTCCCATCCCTCCCAAAACTCTACCCTTTGCACTAATGTGCTCATGAAGGTGGGACCACCCTACCAAACCACAACCAAGCCCTCCTCAACCACCAGTCCACACACACAGAAGGCTGGTCCTGGCGCCATCTTGGTTTCTGTCCTGTAAGCAGTGAGTGGTTCCATCTGGTAATTCATGTCTTCCCTTAGAGAAGGAGAAGCGGCTGTACGTGAGGAGGGTAAGAGTGTGTTTGGGGCCCAATGTCATGTTCATCCACAGGAATGTCAGGAGGCCTAAAGGTATCCCTGTTCTTAGCTTGATTTGGTGGCAGGATATGTGACAGGTCTTTAAAACTGTCTACCTGAGTCAAACTTAGAGCAGGAAAACCCAATACCTCACTGCAGGGCAGATAGAAGGGACTCTCCACCTGGTTTATTCTGGGGTCTTTAATTAACTGGTTCCCAAGCACACTGGAGAAAGATGAGGCTTTTGTTCCCTTAAAGATTTATAGACTCGGAAACCCTGTACAGGGTCACTGTGAATCGGAATCGACTCCACGCACATAACCACCACCACCAAGTATGTGGGGGAGAGAATGGGAAGAAATGCACTTTATCGCCCTCTGGTGGAGTGTGTGTTATTCTTTAGCAAGGTGAGGACCTCAGTTCTGGAGACGGACCTGTCCCAGCAGACACAGCCTGCCCTTTCCAGGCAAAGATGCTGAGTCACAGTGGACAGGTTCCTCCTCACACGGAGATGATCGTACCTACTGGTGGTGGCCCTATGTGCTGACTCCCAGCTGTATACAGTTGAGTCAGGGGACAGATTTGTGAACAAGTCACCCTCCCCACCCGCAGCTTACATACACAATGATGCGGTGTCTTGATGATGTCAGCCTTAGGGCTATGTCTCCCCACTCTCCTGTGAGGCTGCCTTGCTGCAGAATCTTTCTGAAACATCACCACTAGCTCCTAGACACGCTGCTGTTTAGATAGTGTATGTTTTTTTCCCCCTGAGTAATACATACTTAGTATGAAAATTAGAAAAAATGTAAACAAGGCTGGAGAGTGTTCATAATTCTGTCACTCTGGGTGTCTGGACCCAGTCCAGTCATGGTGGCCGTGGCATCAAAGCATTCCCCATCAGCAAGGGTGTCTGGTCTGGCAGCTGGGGGAGGAAGGCCATCCACAGCACGCATTACTCTGGACCATGTGTTGTGGACTCTGTGTCAACTCAGCATCCCCAAGGGTTACCAACAAGGCCCTAAAAGCTCAACGCCGCAAGCTCGGGGCAGCTGGGAATGAGAGCTAAGGGATTCCTCCTTAGGGGACTCTCTTTCTTTCCTTGTGTTTTTTGGTGCCAACACTGCACACGTTCCTGCCCTAGCCGGTGTGACTCTGGATGGGTACTGCGTCCTCCTCATACTTGAACTTGCTCATCCACAGAATGAGGCTGGCTTGAGGGTGACAGAGGTGTGGCTGACCGATCAGTGAGCACACACTGTTGAAATGGACCTGTAGCAGCGTACCCAGGCTATGTCAGGAACGGATTCTCCACACCCCGTCCTGTGCCTCGCTGCTACCTTGGGGAGCCCCAAACACAAGTCTCCCGCGAGACTTGTGCCTGTCCAACTTAAGCACAGCTGGCCCTGCAGACATCGGCTCCTTGGTTCTTGTCAGCCCAAGCTTCCTTCGTTTTGTCTGCAGCCCGTCTTACTCCCCCCTGTTTACCCGCAGCTGTGATGGAG